TGATTGAACACCACCTTCTATAAAGTGAAAGAGAAGGTCATCACTGAGAGAATAAGTGGGATCCACCTTGCAACCACGACTACAAACCCTTTCTCATTTGGAGCTGGAGAAGAGGTGGAGAAACTGAGTGTGATTGTCAATGCTGGAATTTTTTAAACTTTAGAATTAGTGGACATGCCTTGTTCAGCTCACAAACATTCATTACCAGCAGCTTAAAGATATGAAACAGGACAAGAATTGAAATGACAAAACATATGGGTAGGTATAAAGAACAGATAAAGCCTTGCTGCTCCTCCGATGCTCCTAAGCCTTCCTGCTCCTCCGACGCTGCTTGGCCCGCTGTGTTCATCCAGCTCTACACCTTGTTATCACAAAATACCAGTTATTGTGTAATCGACATCATACAAGAAATAATGGCCATTTGACAATCATACACTTTCTTCCTCGTCAATTCTTCAGTGTTTCATTAACCCATTCTCAACATCTTTACTTCAAAATCTTCCTCATGGATTTCAATGTGAATGAACAATCCCATCAGTTAAAGGGGTGGTCACTCCATTTTTTGACGCATTAATTTATTTCATTGTGTGGTAACAACACAAACAGTTAAAGGGATGAACCTGGAAGAGTGTCTGAACCTAGTGCATTTTTCACTATTTAGCTCAAAAATCCTTCAATTCTGAAGTAGAATTTCTGACAGCACTTTGTTTCAAACAATGAGAATTGTTGTTCATTGATCTGAAAGTTAATTACTTCTAGTTAATTAACATAGACAGAGTAATCTGTACATTAATGATCAGATCTCTGATCTTTACCTGATTTTGGGTTTTGCTGTTTCATGCCTTGTTTCCGTTGATCATGATGCATGTTTTCCAGATTGGTATAAATGTTGTCCAGCTCCATGTCCTTACTCAGGAGACCTTCTTGTCTTTAATGGCAACTAGACAAAACCAATATTTTATTCTCACAGTTTCTGTCCAGAATTTCCGTTTCTTGTCAGCTGAAAAGCTAAGGTTGCATGAAAAAGACATCAAGATAATTTCATACGACTGCTTTTCAATGAAGGCAAGGGGTTTTATCCACTTCCTTTTCAGTGGTAACACAACCAAATTTGTTTCTGCTTTCATTGAGTGTATTTAAATAAAAACCGAAACAACTGTGGTGCTGTAAATCAGGAACAAAAACAGAAGTTGCTGGAAAAGCTCAGCAGGTCTGGCAGCATCTGTGAAGAAAAAAATCAAAGTTAACGTTTCGGGTCCGGTGATCATTCCTCAGATACTCCCCCAAGGTCAGATACTCTTCCATGATCAGTTGTATTCAGAACAAAAGTTATGTTCTGCGATTGATTGCTGAAAATGATACTGGATGTTTTTGGAGCTTTGTTTCCCTCTACTTACGTTTTTACAAAATTCTGTATTTGAAGCTCCAAGTCTTCCTGTTCTACAGCAATCTGACAGTCTTTGTGTGAGGAGATTAAATGTAATATTTCCAAGTCTGTTCCCCCACAAAGCCATGTGGGTACTGGAATGAAGAAGAGAAAATAAGAGGTTTCAAGGAGATTTACAGAAGTTGAGTGATTTGAAAATGTGTGGCAGATGTAGTTTAATGGGGAATGAGTGAAGTCCACTTCAGGCAATAAAGAACAGAATGGCCAGATATTGTTTAAATGGTGATAGATTGAGAAATTTTGTTGAATGAACAAACCTGGGTGTCCTGGCATATTGGTCATTGAAAGTAAGTATAGGTGCCACAAGTTGTCAGGAAGGCTAATACTATGTTGACTTTCATTATCAGAGGGTTTGAGTTCAGGAGCAAAAGACTCTTAGTGCCACTGTACAGATCCTTGGCGTACTGTGTGCAGTTTTGATCTCCTTATGTAAAAGACACACTTGCCAAAGAGGGACTGCAGCAAATCTTCACTAGTCAGATTCCTGCTTGGAAAGTTTGTCATATGAAGGGAGACCAAGTCAAAGGGACCTGTATTTGCTGGAGTTTAGACGCTTCGTTGAATCCCCTCTGTCAACATCCCAGTGCTACGCAGTATGCTGATAGTGCCATCTACAAGATACAAGTCAGGAGTATGATGGGATATTTCCCACCTGCTGGGATAGTTGCAGCTCTAGCAACACTTAAGAGACTCGATACCATCCAGGACAAAGTGACCCATTTGATTGGCACTACATCCACAAACATCTGCTTCCTCCACCACCTCCTCAGTAGCAGTGAGATGTACAGAATGATTCCATAAATAGAGGTTTAACAATGATTGGATAAACAGCTTTCAGGAATGATTCATAATGGTTTAAATGTTGGCCAGAACAATGGGGAGAGTTATGCAACTCTCCTGCCAATAAGCTGTCACCTGTGAGAAGTTTCTGGTTAATGTCTCATCCAAAAGATGGCACCTCTTTCAGAGCAGCACTCCCTCAGTGCTGCAGAGCCTGGATCAGCCTGGTTATGTGTTCACATTCTGGAGAGTGATGACCCATGAAGCTTTCGCTCTGATTTTAACCTGGATAGTGAGGTGAGCTCAAACTTATCGCCCCAGGGTGTCCAAAGAGCAATTCCCTCACCCGAACCTCAGCAAACAGCAACACTTTGTGGCCTCCGAGCTTGACTGAAATCCGACACGAGAAGGGAAAGAGGAATGAAGGCAACAATTTAGACTGTCTTTTCCTGTACAGCAATGTCTGAAAAATGGAATGAAATGCCATTCCAGGAAATCTCATGCCGAATTCCTCACAGTGCCGTGTTACAGTTCATGGGTCTTGATGTGTTGAAGTGTTCCTACACAGTGCTAGCCCAGTGGACCATCACTAACAGTCTGCAGGACGTCTTGACTGAAGGTCTGGATCTAGACAATGTGGCCTCAGGTGGGAGACCCTTAGGCCGTGTGGCTCAGTTGGGCTGGCTGACCAGTAGCATCTGAGACACTATTGTAGGGGGCTCTGGGCCAGAGTGGGTGAGGGTCAGGGTTAGGGTTAGGGTAGAGGTAGGGCAGGGTTAGGATTGGGTTATGGTAGGGTAGGGGTAGGGGTAGGGGTAGATTAGGGTTAGGGGTAGGTGTAGGGATAGTTGTAGGGGTAGGGTTAGGGGTAGGGTTAGGGACAGGTGTAACGGTAGGGTTAAGCGTAGGTTTAAGGGTAAGTGAAGGGGTACGGTTAGGGGTTAGGGGTATGGTTAGGGATAGGGTTAAGGGTAGGGGTAGGTGTAGGCGTCGGGTAGGGTTAGGGGTAGCATTAGGTTTAGGGATAGGGTTAGGGATACGGTTAGGGGTAGGGCTAGGGGGTAGGGTTAGGGTTGGGGTAGGGGTAGGGTACGGTAGGGTTAGGGTAAGGTTAGAGTAGGGCGGGGTTGTTTAGGATAGGGTAAGGTAGGGGTAGGGGTTGGTGTAGTTGTATGGTAGGGTAGGGAAGGGTAGGGTAGGGGAGGTTAGGGTAGGAGTAGTTGTATGGTAGGGTAGGTTAGGGATAGGGTTAGGATGGGGGTAGGATAGGGAAGGGTAGGGATAGGATAGGGTAGGGTATGGTAGGGGTAGCAGTAGGCTTACGAGTGGGTAAGGGTAGGGTAGGGGTAGGGTATTGTTGGTAGATGACATCGTTCTTAGGCAGAGTCCCAATGACATTTAATATAGCTGCTGGCCTTCGATTAACTGAAAGCTCTCAGTGGGCAGGACATCTAGCCAAGGCTCCTTGATCCTTCGGGGAGGAGCCATTTATGGCCCATTTAGTCACTCATTGGCACCTAATTTAGGGACGTGGACCCCATAAAGTGGGAACGCATCCATCATCCACAGATTACCCTCATTGTTTAACATTGTTCAGTCTGAAAAACACCCATTTACCTTTCTGTCCTTTTCTAAATGCAAGCAATCATTCTCCTACTTCATGTGTTTTCACTTTGTTAACCAACGTTTTATGTGATACGTCATTAAACACTTAAATTGTTCCAGTGAGGATGAAAAATACAGATTGCAAGAGTCAGGAACCTAGGATGATGAGAAATGTGGTAAGTTCGGTTAAAAAGTAAAAAGAAGCATATGTGAGGTTTAGGAAACAGAAATCAATACAATCTTTGATGAGTATAAAGGAAGCACAAAGAAATTTAACAAGAAATTAGCAGGGCTAGAAGGGGCCATGAAATACCCTTGGCAAGTAGGATTAAGTAAACTCCCAAAGCATTTTATACATCCATGAGTGGCACAGTGGCTCAGTGATTAGTACTGTTGCCTCACAGCACCAGGGGCCTGGCTTTGATTCCAGCCTTGATTAACTGTGTGGATTTTGCAGAGTCTCCCCATGTCTGCATGAGTTTCTGCCAGGTGTTCTGGTTTATTCTCATAGTCTAAACATGTGCAGGTTAGATGGATTGACCATGCTACATTGCCCTGTAGTTTCCAGGAATGTGCAGGCTAAGTGGATGGGCCATGTTAAATGTGGGGTGACATGAATAGTGTGAGGGTGTGCTGGAGCTGGGTGGGATGCTGTTCAGAGGGTTGGTG